TTCATTTTTCTTTTAAATTTGTCCTTAGCCTCTCAAAATGGAGTTAAATAATAACTGTGCAGTTCAAGAACAAAATGTTAAAACATCCCCAAGTGTGAATGACTATTTGATGAGGCTTCTGTCTTTTCTAGTTAAGCAAAAATCATCCTAGCATCTCTCATTTTTAATGAGTCCTCCACCTAGATCAAGAAAAACTCTTTGCCAAAGTTGCTAACAAACCACGTGCACATTTCTGCCTTGCTCCTTCAGCATTTCCTTTTTTCCCCCCTCATTTTGTATATATGAAATTCTTACGTTAGCAGGTGTTAAGAATCGTGTGCACGCATCACAGGCGGAAGTGCTCCTATCCTTCTTAATTCCCATCAGCTTTGCGGGATTTCGTTCAGTGGTCCCCAAACTGTTGATCTCGATCAACAGGTCAATCGTGGAGACTCTTGGGGTCAATCCTGGACTGGGGGGAGGGACTGGGCACGTGTGCATCCCCCCCTGCCCCAGCCCAGCAGGTCAGTCTGTGGGGGAGGGAAGGGGCAGGGGACAGATGGTAAGGTCCAGCCAGCAGCAGGGGAAGTTAAGTGTGGCCCCAGCTGGGAAGTGCCCTGACCGCAGGGCTATAGGCTCTCTTGGACTAGCGTAGTAGCTCTCGTTTTTCATGACAAGCTTTGAAAGGTCTCCGTTTCATCCCAACATGGAATGGAGGGGGGGGAAAAAAAAATAACAACTTTTGATAACTCCAAAGCTTTTCTGCAATGGGAAAACCATTTCCTGGCCAGCTCTAATACCGAGTGCTTTTTCAACGCACTAAACTGACAGCTGTTGTTTAAGGCTTTCTTGATACTGCTGCAAACAACAGTGTCAATCAGCAAATGACTCTTATTTTTCCTCTCCACTCACTGAAGAAGCTGTTAGGCTTTCTGATTTCTGAGCTAGGTTAAGATCCCAATATTTTACCCAAACAAGACAGAATCTTAGCCCTTTTATGGACTCGGGCTATTTTTATAAGTACCCAATTCAGCACAAAAATAAAGCATCGCACAGAGTAAGAGATAGGAGAGCGGCTCATAAAATGGTACATATCCATTCTTTTCGCATACGTTCAGAGCTTGCGAGTGTGTATCAAAGGGAAATCTTAAGAGTGATTTGATTTTGATCTATAGTCTCATATGAGCCAGAATGGAATACATTACGCTCCACTTATAACAGACATGATTAAAAACAATCAGTTATATTGGGCAAAAACATATTTCCCAAGGCAAACTCCAATACATTTGTCACTGGCGATAAGACACAGAAATTCTGTATTGTATATAAAAACCTTCTGGGCTTTTATGGACATTACTAATGGCCTGAAAAATAGGGAGAGCCGGCGAAGGAAGTTGTATAAATTAGATGTAGGAGCTATAGTGATTCCATTTCCCACAGCATAATTCCTTGCTAACTGTGTAAACTTTAGATGAATACATTCTCCATAGGCAACGAGCGTATGTCATTTGAAACACTAACGGCAACGAGTTGCCTCTGCTCTCTGTCGGGGAAGATCAGTGAACGGGTAACAGATTTGCATTCTTCCTCTTCGCTTCAACATTTAAATTGGACTGCATAGAAAATACAAGTGCAGCCAACGAAAGGATGTGCGAGGTGAGACTGAGCAGAGCTGGTGGGGAAATTTCCAATGTAACAGATTTTTGTAGGAAAATGCCTATTTGTCAAATGCAAATATTTTACAGAAATGTATCCATTTCCACAATGCCATGCAAACCCCAGGCCAGATCATGGAAATCTGCCCAGTTCCCTGCTGTCTTGTGTGGCAGGCTGCCCAGCCATTGGAGATCCTAAGGTCTGCTGCTTTGGGACTGTATGTCCTCAGATCAAGAATCCCCAGGGCACGTAGGGTCTTCCAGGGCATCCCCCACATGTGGATTCCCAGACTCCTAGTTGCAGAGCCACAAGCCTGAAAGCCTTAAAAACCTCAACTCCAAAGCATGGAGTCTGGACCCCGCAAAACTCCTGCCTGAAGTCAGGGCTGTCAGGGCCCGTGGTCTCCCCGCGACGGAGCTGGGATCCCAAGGGCTCCTCTGGCTGCTTGAGATTGCAAACTCCATGGCCCATGGCTAGTTCAGGAGGGCTGATGGGGAAATAAAGACCTCAGGGCCAGGGAACCACAGCTGAATCTGGGTGTCCCAGCGTCCAGTCCATCTTGAAATTTTCAAACCTGAGGCATTTTGGCTAAGTACAGACAGTCAAAAAGCCCAAGGCTGAATCGATTCAATCTTTGAAGGTTAGTCTAAGCTACGTAGATTGAACCGATAAGCAAGTGAACAGACATTCACTTTTGATTCAGGCAATGCGGCCACCTGCCTGCAGCGGCCCAGGCCAGAAGCTGGAGGGCGATAAAGCACACCTCCCTGCTTGGCTGGAGCAGACAGCTTGGGCCAATGCTAGCCCGCCCACCCTGCAAGGGGTGTGTGCAGGGGAGGTGCAAAGCATCCTGGGATGCTGGGGGACTGTGAGAACTTGAATCTGGAGGGGATCTGGGACACAAGTTCAATAAACTGTTTTAACATAAATCAGTTAAGCCTCATACTACATCCATCCAGATTAATTTTAAGCAGATTTCAGCCATTTTGAAGGCAGTTTATGTGCACCAAACTTCTGTTGTGTTACAGATTTCCAATCACTTATATTGGCTTGTGTGTAATTTCTGTCCCTAGTCAAAATGTCTAAACATCTCCGGATTAACTTCTCCACTGGGAACCTTCAAGAAATCCCACTCTTCCACTGTTACAGAATGAAAATTATCCTAAGCTTTTGCAGCATCCCTCAAAAAAAACACAAAAATCAAGGCTTTTGTCCTATTTTAAGTGGTCTCAATTCTCTCTTTGCTGCAATCCGGTAGGCGGAACACAAAGCTGGGATCCGGCAATCTCACCGGCAAGCTGGACTCGCTCTCGATATGTCTACACCCCTATCCCCAAGGGAGTCAGGGCATGCCACTGAGAAATAAACTGCACCTACTCCATGCCTGCCTAGGCCCAGATATTTGCAAAGTAGATAGCTCCGCACAGCCTTGAGCACATGCCCCAGCCCTGAACTCGGGCTCCCTGCCTCAGGAGACCTTGAGCAACCACTTTGCATGGGTATGAGCAGGTGGGACTGGCTTCCTGGCAGGATGCCCAGGGTCCCTCAAGAGGCCGTGCAGACCTACCTTCAGTGCCTTTAGACAAGCTGTTTAATCTCTGTCTTGGATTCACCATATCCCACAGGGGTTGAGAGGTTTAATGGGAAGACAGCGACTGCCATATCACATCATGAGATCACTCCATCTACTCCAAGGTCTTTCTATTCCCGTGTGCCTCTGACCACTGCCTAGGACTGTATTTGTTGGAGGAAGGTGGAATAAACTAATAATGGGCAAGCATGGACTAACCTGCATTTATGGAAAGTTCTTCCTGTACCAAAGCACTGTGTGGCTGGTCCAAGTCCTGAAGCATAAGTGTATAGGCCCCTTGCAGGCTTTTAGCCTAGTTAATGTAAACTCTTGGTGGAATAGGGACTGCCATTTGCTTTGTATTTGTTAGCTGTGCAGAACAACGGGCAACAGATGTTAGAGTGATGTTGTAACCATGATGGTCCAGGAATTGGGGTGAGACCTTTTATTGAGCCAACTGTATAGTTGGGATAAAGTTAGACAAGCTTTCAAATGCACGG